AGGCCATGCAGAGGGTCTGTTCATCAGCTGTGGGGGTGAGTGTGGGCCCTATAGGGTGTCTAGGGGGCGCTATGGGTTGTCTACAGGGGTCTATAGGGCCCTATGGATTGTCTATGGGGGTGTATGGGGTGTCTATGGGGTGTTTATGGGGTGCTGTGGGGTGTCTGGCGCACTAGGGGATGTCTGGGGGGCTCTATGGGGTGGCTACTGGGTGGCTGTGGGGCTCTAGGGGATGTCTGGGGGGCTCTATGGGGTGGCTACTGGGTGTCTAGGGCGCTGTGGGGTGCTATGGGCTCTGTGTGGCTACTTAGGGGGTCCTATGGATCCAGTTATGGGTCTTGTGGGGTTACTTATGGGTCCTGTGGGTCTATATATGACTTCTGTGGGTTTATTTGTGAGTCTTATGAGGCTACATATGGGTCCTGTGGGTCTAGATACAGGTCCTGTGGGTTTACTTATGGGTCCAGTCAGCCTAGTTATGGGTCGTGTGGGTCTAGATATGGGTCCTATGGGTTTACTTTGGGTCCTGTGGGTCTACACATGGGTCTAATGGGTTTATTTATGGGTCTTGTGGGTCTCCATATGGGCCCTAAGGGGCTCTATGGGAAGCCCCCCGTGCCCCACTGCCCTTTGCCCCTGTTTTCTCTCCCCACCTTCCCATCAGCCCCTGCTGCGTCCAAAGTCCATTTCCAGGGTCCCCCCTCCCTATGGGGCTGCCCCACACCCCCCAGCCCAATGGGGTGGCAGTGGGGTTCAATGGGATGGCTATGGGGTTCAATGGGGTGGCTATGGGGCTCTGTGGGGTTCAACGGGGTTTCTGTGGGGGTCAGTTGGGTGGCTATGGGGTCAGTGGGGTGGCTATGGGGGTCAATGGGGTGGCTTATGGGGCTCTATGGGGGTCAGTGGAGCAGCTATGGGGTATCTACGGGGTCAATGGACTGTCTATGGGGGTCAATGGAGTGGCTGTGGGGTGTCTATGGGGCAGCTATAGGGTGTCTATGGGGCGGATATGGGGTGTCTATGGGGAGGCTATAGGGTGCCGTGGGGTGGCTGTGGGGTGTCTATGGGCCTCTATGGGGGTTTATGGCGGGGTACAGGCAGCGTGTTGCTGCACATCCACCAGGGGGCGGTAGTATAGTGCCGGAGAGGGGCGGGGTCAGCCGAGGCCACGCCCCCTCTGCTCTGTGGGTCTGTATGGGATCTCTATTGGTTTCTATGGGTCCCTGTGTGTCCCTATGGGTCTCAATGTGTCCCTGTAGGTCTCTATGGGTCCCTGTGTGTCCCTATGGGTCTCAATTAGTTCCTATGTGTTCGTATGGTTCTGTGTGTCCCTATGGGTCTCAATGTGTCCCTGTGTGTCTCTATGGGTCTCAATGAGTCCCTGTGGGTCTCTATGGGTCTCAATGTGTCCCTAGGGGTCCCTGTGGTTCCCTATGGGTCTCAATGTGTCCCCTATGGGTTCCTTTAGTTCCCTATGGGTCCCTATGTGTCTCAGTGTGTCCCTATGGGTCCCAGTGGGTCTCAATGTGTCCCTTTGGTTCCCTATGTGTCCCTATGGGTCCCTATGTTTCCCTATGTGTCCCTATGGGTCTCAGTGGGTCTCAATGTGTCCCTTTGGTTCCCTATGTGTCCCTATGGGTCCCAGTGGGTCTCAATGTGTCCCTTTGGTTCCCTATGTGTCCCTATGGGTCTCAGTGGGTCTCAATGTGTCCCTTTGGTTCCCTATGTGTCCCTATGGGTCCCAGTGGGTCTCAATGTGTCCCTATGTGTCCCAGTGGGTCTCAATGTGTCCCTATGTGTCTCAGTGGGTCTCAATGTGTCCCTATGGTTCCCTATGTGTCCCAGTGTGTCTCAGTGGGTCTCAATGTGTCCCTATGTGTCCCTATGGTTCCCTATGTGTCCCAGTGTGTCTCAGTGCCCCCCCGTCCCCAGGTGCGGCCCCCGTGCCTTCCCCCCGCGGTTGCTGTGCACGGTGCCGGGCGCGGACGCCCCCATCGCGGCCTCCCTGGAGGGGGGAGCGGAGGCGCTGCGGGCGCTGCCCCCCCCGGCCCGGGCCTTCGTGGAGGAGGGGGCTCGGCTCTGCCGGCCCCGCGCCCTCTGCCTCTGCGACGGCTCCGCCAGCCAGGCCAGCGCCCTCCTGCGGGAGCTCAGCAGCAGCGGCACCGTGCGGGCCCTGCCCCACAGGGACAACTGGTGAGGGGCGTCTGGGGGGGGATAGGGGGCTCTATGGGGGATAGGGGGCTCTGGGGGGGCTCTGTGGGGGGGATAGGGGGCTCTGGGGGGGCTCTGGGGGGGATAGGGGGCTCTGGGGGGGGATAGGGGGCTCTATGGGGGCTCTGGGGGGGGATAGGGGGCTCTGGGGGGCTCTGGGGGGGATAGGGGGCTCTGTGGGGGCTCTGGGGGGGGATAGGGGGCTCTATGGGGGGATAGGGGGCTCTGGGGGGGCTCTGGGGGGGATAGGGGGCTCTGGGGGGGATAGGGGGCTCTGGGGGGGGATAGGGGGCTCTGGGGGGGCTCTGGGGGGGATAGGGGGCTCTGTGGGGGCTCTGGGGGGGGATAGGGGGCTCTGTGGGGGCTCTATGGGGGATAGGGGGCTCTGTGGGGGCTCTATGGGGCTCTGTAGGGTGTCTGGGGGGGATATGGGGCTCTGTGGGGTGACTGTGGGGGGATATGGGGCTCTATGGGGTATCTATGGGGCTCTGTGGAGGTCTGTGGGGCTCTGTGGGCCTATGGAGGTTTATGGGGGTCCGTGGGGTCTCTGTGGTCTCTCTATGGGTCCCTGTGTGTTCCTATGGGGTCTCTATTGGTCTCTCTATGAGTGCCTATGCGTCTTTATACGGGTCTTGTGGTGTCTATGGGTCTCTCTGGGTCCCTCTATGGGTTGCTATGGCTCTGTATGGGTTCCTCTATGGGTCACTATGGTTCGCTATGGGTCCCTCCATGGGTCTCTCTGTGGGTCCCTCTGTGTCCCTCCATGTGTCGCTATGGGTCTCTGTGGGTCACTATGGGTCCCTCTGGGTCCCTCCATGTGTCGCTATGGGTCTCTGTGGGTCACTGTGGGTCCCTCTGTGTCCCTCCATGTGTCGCTATGGTTCGCTGTGGGTCACTATGGGTCCCTCTGGGTCCCTCCATGTGTCGCTATGGGTCTGTGCCCCACAGCTGGCTGGCCTGGACGGACCCCCGGGACGTGGCGCGCGTGGAGGGGCGCACGGTGCTGGTGACGCCGCGGCCCGAGGACGCCGCCCCACAGGCCTCCCCCGCGCCAGGGGGCGCTGTGGCGCACAGCCTGCTGGGCAACTGGATGAGCCCCGACGAGCTGCAGCGCGCCATGGACGCCCGCTTCCCGGGCTGCATGGAAGGTGTGGGCCCCGTGGGTCTGCCCCACACCTCCCTCCTTTGCCCGTCAAATTCCCCCTTTTCCCAAGTTTGCTCCAAATTTTACCACTTTCCCACAGTTTTTCAGCCAAATTTCCCCAAATTTCTCCAAATTTCCCCAAATTTCCCCGGTTTTTCCTGCAAGTTTTGGCTGAACTCCCTCAGTTTTACCCAAATTTCACCCATTTCCCCACAGTTGTTCCCCAGTGTTAACCCGTTTCACAAATCTAGCCCAAATTTTCCCAAACTTCACCCAATTTCCTCAAAATTTTTACCCCAAATTTCCAAAAAATCTCTCCGTTTTTACCCAGGGCTTACCAAAGTTGCCCTCAGTTTTCCCCAAGTTTCCTGATTTTTATGCAAATTTATCCAATTTTCCCCAAAATTTTACCCAGTTTCCTTAAAATTTCACCAAGTTTTACCCAGTTTCCTTAAAATTTCACCAAATTTCACCAAATTTTTCAAAAATACCCAAAAATTTGCAGTTTTTCCCGATTTTCACCAAATTTTCCCAGTTTTCCCCCAAATTTTCCCGTTTTTTCCCCAAATTTTCCCGATGCCCCCTCCCCATGACCCTGCCTCCCCCCCAGGCCGCACCATGTACGTGATCCCCTTCCTGATGGGCCCCCCCGGGTCGCCCCTGTCCCGCCCGGGGCTGCAGCTCACGGACTCTGCCTACGTGGCCGCCTCCATGCGCATCATGACCCGCGTCGGGGCCCACTTCCTGCCTTCATCCTCCTCCTCCTCCTCATCGTCATCATCCTCGGCCGATGACTTCGTGCGATGCCTGCACTCTGTGGGGAGGCCTCGCGACGGTGAGCGGCCCAAAACGATCCAAACCCGGGCTTATTGACCCCAAAAACACACCCAAAGCAGGCTTGTTGGCCCAAAACCACCCTGAAAATGGTGTTATTGACCCAAAACCACCCTGAAAATGGTGTTATTGACCCCAAAACCACACCCAAAGCAGGCTTGTTGGCCCAAAACCACCCTGAAAATGGTGTTATTGACCCCAAAAACACACCCAAAGCAGGCTTGTTGGCCCAAAACCACCCTGAAAATGGTGTTATTGACCCAAAACCACCCTGAAAATGGTGTTATTGACCCCAAAAACACACCCAAAGCAGGCTTGTTGGCCCAAAACCACCCTGAAAATGGTGTTATTGACCCCGAAAACACGCACAAAGCAGGCTTATTGACCCGAAAACAGGCTTCTTGACCCCAAAAATGCCCTGAAAATGGTGTTACCCCAAAACACCCTGAAAATGGGTTTCCCCCATTTCTAACCCATTTCCCCCATTCCTAACCCCTTTTTTTCCAATTTCCCTCGTTGCTAACCCATTTCTCACTCATCTTTCCCCATTTCCCCATTTTAACCCGTGTTATCCCCATTTCAAACCCATTTTTCCTCATTTCTCTCCTATTTCTAACCCATTTCTACGCCATTTTTTCCCCATTTCTAACTTATTTTTCCCCATTTCCAACCCGTTTTCCCCATTTCCCCCCATTTTCCCCATTTCCCACTCATTTTTCCTCATTTCTAACCCATTTCCGCCCGTTTTTCCCCATTTCCCCCCATTTCTAACCCATTTCCCCCCGTTTCCCCACATTTCCCCCCATTTTTCCCCATTTCCCCCCATTTCCCCCATTTCTAACCCATTTTTCCCCATTCCCCCCCATTTTTCCCCATTTCCCCCTCATTTTTCCCCACTTTTCCCCATTTCTAACCCATTTCTAACCCATTTTTCCCCATTTCTAACCCATTTCTAACCCATTTCTAACCCATTTCTAACCCATTTCTAACCCATTTCTAACCCATTTTTCCCCATTTCTAACCCATTTTTCCCCATTTCTAACCCATTTCTAACCCATTTTTCCCCATTTCTAACCCATTTCTAACCCATTTCTAACCCATTTCTGACCCATTTCTATCCCATTTCTGACCCATTTCTAACCCATTTCTGACCCATTTCTAACCCATTTTTCCCCATTTCTAACCCATTTCTAACCCATTTTTCCCCATTTCTAACCCATTTCTAACCCATTTCTGACCCATTTCTAACCCATTTCTGACCCATTTCTATCCCATTTCTGACCCATTTCTAACCCATTTCTGACCCATTTCTAACCCATTTTTCCCCATTTCTAACCCATTTTTCCCCATTTCTAACCCATTTTTCCCCATTTCTAACCCATTTCTAACCCATTTCTAACCCATTTCTAACCCATTTCTAACCCATTTTTCCCCATTTCTAACCATTTCTAACCCATTTCTGACCCATTTCTACCCATTTCTAACCCATTTCTGACCCATTTCTGACCCATTTCTATCCCATTTCTAACCCATTTCTAACCCATTTTTCCCCATTTCTATCCCATTTCCTAACCCATTTCTAACCCATTTCTAACCCATTTCTAACCCATTTTTCCCCATTTTTCCCCATTTCTAACCCATTTCTGACCCATTTCTGACCCATTTCTATCCCATTTCTAACCCATTTCTATCCCATTTCTAACCCATTTCTAACCCATTTTTTCCCCATTTTTCCCCATTTCTAACCCATTTCTGACCCATTTCTGACCCATTTCTATCCCATTTCTATCCCGTTTCTAACCCATTTCTAACCCATTTCTAACCCATTTCTGACCCATTTCTATCCCATTTCCAACCCATTTCTATCCATTTCTAACCCATTTCTAACCCATTTCTAACCCATTTCTAACCCATTTCTAACCCATTTTTCCCCATTTCTAACCCATTTTTCCCCATTTCTAACCCATTTCTAACCCATTTTTCCCCATTTCTAACCCATTTCTAACCCATTTCTAACCCATTTCTGACCCATTTCTATCCCATTTCTGACCCATTTCTAACCCATTTCTGACCCATTTCTAACCCATTTTTCCCCATTTCTAACCCATTTCTAACCCATTTTTCCCCATTTCTAACCCATTTCTAACCCATTTCTGACCCATTTCTAACCCATTTCTGACCCATTTCTATCCCATTTCTGACCCATTTCTAACCCATTTCTGACCCATTTCTAACCCATTTTTCCCCATTTCTAACCCATTTTTCCCCATTTCTAACCCATTTTTCCCCATTTCTAACCCATTTCTAACCCATTTCTAACCCATTTCTAACCCATTTCTAACCCATTTTTCCCCATTTCTAACCCATTTCTAACCCATTTCTGACCCATTTCTACCCATTTCTAACCCATTTCTGACCCATTTCTGACCCATTTCTATCCCATTTCTAACCCATTTCTAACCCATTTTTCCCCATTTCTATCCCATTTCTAACCCATTTCTAACCCATTTCTAACCCATTTCTAACCCATTTCTAACCCATTTTTCCCCATTTTTCCCCATTTCTAACCCATTTCTGACCCATTTCTGACCCATTTCTATCCCATTTCTAACCCATTTCTATCCCATTTCTAACCCATTTCTAACCCATTTTTTCCCCATTTTTCCCCATTTCTAACCCATTTCTGACCCATTTCTGACCCATTTCTATCCCATTTCTATCCCGTTTCTAACCCATTTCTAACCCATTTCTAACCCATTTCTGACCCATTTCTATCCCATTTCCAACCCATTTCTATCCCATTTCTATCCCATTTCTATCCCATTTCCAACCCATTTCTGACCCATTTCTATCCCATTTCTAACCCATTTCTATCCCATTTCTGACCCATTTCTATCCCATTTCCAACCCATTTCTACCCCGTCCCCATCCCCATCCCCGCGCCGCGGGTGCCCGGTGCAGGCGCGGTGGAGGTGCCGTCGTGGCCCTGCGACCCGTCCCGCACGCTCATCGCCCACGACCCGCGGCGCCGCCGCATCGTCTCCTACGGCAGCGGCTACGGCGGCAACTCCCTGCTGGGCAAGAAGAGCTTCGCGCTGCGCATGGCGGCCGGCCTGGCCCGCGCCGAGGGGTGGCTGGCAGAGCACATGCTGGTGCGGCCGCCAGGGGGTCCTGGGGGCGTCGAACGGGGTGGACGGGGGTTGTAACGGGGTGTAACGGGGTTATAACGGGGTGTAAGGGGGTTATAACGGGGTGTAATGGGGTTATAACGGGGTGTAACGGGGTGTAATGGGGTTATAACAGGGTGTAATGGGTGTAAGGGGTTATAACGGGGTGTAATGGGGTTATAACGGGGTGTAATGGGGGTGTAAGGGGTTATAACGGGGTGTAATGGGGTTATAACGGGGTGTAATGGGTGTAAGGGGTTATAACGGGGTGTAATGGGGTTATAACGGGGTGTAATGGGGTGTAAGGGGGTTATAATGGGGTGTAAGGGGGTTATAATGGAGTGTAAGGGGGTGTAAGGGGGTGTAATGGGGTTATGGGGGATAATGGGGTGTAATGGGGCTGATGGGGTTATAATGGGGTGTAATGGGTTATAATGGGGTTTAATGGGGTGTAATGGAGTTATAATGGGGTTTAATGGGGGATATTTGGTGTCATGGGGATAATGGGTTTTAATGGGGTTTAAATGGGGTTTTAATGAGGTTAGAATGGGGTTTAATAGTGTCTTAATGGATTATAATGGATTATAATAAGTTATAATGCGGTTTAATGAGGTATAATGGGTTGTAATGGGATGTAATGGGGTTTTAATGGATTATAAGGGAGTGTTCTGGGATTATAAGAAGCTATAATGGGTTTATACTGGGGTGTAATGGGTTTACACTGGGGTGATTTTGGATGGATTTTGACAGGTTTTGGGGTGATTTCCGTTCCCTTTTGCCCATTTTTGACCTGTTTTCCCCCATTTTTGTGTCGTCCCCCCCCATAGATCGTGGGGTTTGAGGACCCCCGGGGCCGCAAGCGGTACCTGGCGGGCGCCTTCCCCAGTGCCTGCGGCAAAACCAACCTGGCCATGATGCGGGCGGCCCTGCCCGGCTATCACGTGACCTGCGTGGGCGATGACATCGCCTGGATGCGCTTCGACCACCAAGGTGGGGCCCGACCCACACGTGTGGGGCTCAGCGCCTGTGGGGCGGGCCCATAGGGCTGTGGGCGTTGGGCGTCAATGGCTATGGGGTTGCACCGTCAGTGATGGGTTTGTTGGGTAGTAGGGGTCACAGAGCTGTTGGCCCCATTGATTCCAGTTGAACCCCATTGAGTCCCATTGAACCCCATTGATTCCCATTCATTCCCAAGGACCCCATTGAACCCCATTGATAGCCATTCACCCCATTGATTCCTATTGATACCCATTGACCCCATTGATTTCCCGTTGACTCCCATTGAACCCCATTGACTCCCATTGAACCCCATTGATTCCATTGATTCTTATTGATCCCACTGAACCCCTGTGATTCCCATTGAACCCCATTGACCCCATTGATTCCCATTGATTCTTATTGACCCCATTGAACCCCAATGATTCCCATTGAACCCCATTGACCCCATTGATTCCCATTGATTCTTATTGACCCCATTGAACCCCAATGATTCCCATTGAACCCCATTGACCCCATTGATTCCCATTGATTCTTATTGACCCCATTGAACCCCAATTATTCCCATTGAACCCCATTGATTCCCATTGATTCTTATTGACCCCATTGAACCCCAAATGATACCCATTGAATCCCATTGACCCCATTGATTCCCATTGATTCTTATTGACCCCATTGAACCCCAATTATTCCCATTGAACCCCATTGACCCCATTGATTCCCATTGATTCTTATTGACCCCATTGAATGCCAGTGATTCCCATTGACCCCATTCATTCCCATTGACCCCACTGATTCCTGATGACCCCATTGAACCCCATTGATTCCCATTGAACCCCATTCATTCCCATTGACCCCATTGATTCCTGATGACCCCATTGATACGTATTTGATCCCATTGACCCCATTGATTCCCATTTAACCCCATTGCCCCCCATTTACCCCATTGCCCCCCAGGCCGCCTCCGCGCCATCACCCCGAGTGCGGCTTCTTCGGGGTGGCCCCGGGCACGTCGGAGGCCACCAACCCGGTGGCCATGGCCACCATCCGCCGCGACACCATCTTCACCAACGTGGGGCTCACCAGCACCGGCGACGTCTATTGGGAGGGCATCGGCCAATCCCTGCCGCCCGACGTCACCCTCACCTCCTGGCGCGGCCAATCCTGGAAGCCCGGTGAGGCTCCGCCCCCCCACCCAACCCATTGAAACCCACGGGAATGCGGCTGCTCTCTGATTGGTCCCTTCCTTTCATCCCGCTCTGTGATTTGTCCATCCCCCCATCGCCGCTCTCTGATTGGTGCTTTACCCCCATCACCACTCTCTGATTGGTCCATCCCCTCCAACCCCGCTCTCTGATTGGTCCATCCCCTCCATCCCTGCTCTCTGATTGGTCCATCCCCTCCATCCCTGCTCTCTGATTGGTCCATCCCCTCCATCCCTGCTCTCTGATTGGTCCATCCCCTCCATCCCTGCTCTCTGATTGGTTCATCCCCTCCATCCTGCTCTCTGATTGGTCCATCCGCCCCATCCCTGCTCTCTGATTGGTCCATTCCCTCCATCCCCACTCTCTGATTGGTCCATCCCCCCCATCCCTGCTCTCTGATTGGTCCACCCCCCCCCCCATACCCGCTCTCTGGTCCATCCCCTCCATCCCCGCTCTCTGATTGGTCCATCCTCTCCATCCCCACTCTCTGATTGGTCCACCCCCCCCCCCCCATCCCCGCTCTCTGATTGGTCCATCCCCTCCATCCCCGCTCTCTGATTGGTCCATCCCCTCCATCCCTGCTCTTTGATTGGTCCGTTCTCCCCCCAGGTGACCCCGAGCCCTGCGCCCACCCCAACGCCCGCTTCTGTGCCCCGGCCTCCAACTGCCCCAGCCTGGACCCGGCCTGGGAGGACCCCGAGGGCGTCCCCATTGACGCCATCATCTTCGGGGGGCGGCGCCCCGAGGGTGAGGCTCCGCCCCCTTCACCCCCCACCCCCCTCCCCGTCAGCCAATAGGGTTACAGCGTGGCTCTGACGTCACAATGGGCCCCGTTTCCAGGCGTCCCATTGGTGTTCGAGGCCTTCAGCTGGGAGCACGGCGTCTTCCTGGGCAGCGCCATGCGGAGCGAGGCCACTGCTGCCGCTGAGCACAAGGGTAGGGACCATAACCGGGGCCTCTGCCCCCTAACCAGGCCCTAGGGACCCATAAACCAGGGCCTTGGGACGCTTAACAGGGGCTTGGGACTCACAACCAGGGCCTGTGACCCATAACCAGGTCCTAGCACCCCATTATCACCCCCATCACCATCTAACCCCATAACCGCCTCCCAGTGCCCCATAACCACCTCCCATCACCCCATAGCCCCATCCCGTTCCTCCGTAAGTGCCCCATAGCCACCCCCTATCACCCCATCACCCCTCCCCTTGCCTGTCAGTGCCCATCACCCCCTCCACTGCCCCATAAGTGTCCCATAACCCCCCGTATGCCGCCCCCCCCCCCCCCCTTGCCCCACAGGCCGGCAGCTGCTCCACGACCCCTTGGCCATGCGCCCTTTCTTCGGCTACAACGCGGGGCAGCACCTCCAGCACTGGTTGGACGTCGGGGCCCGCGCCGGCGCCCGCCCGCCCCGCATCTTCCACGTCAATTGGTTCCTGCGCGACCAATCGGGAGCCTTCGTGTGGCCGGGCTTCGGGCACAACGCCCGCGTGCTGGCCTGGATCTGCGCCCGCGTCGGCGGCGAGGCCGGCGCCGTGGCCACCCCCATCGGGTTGATCCGGAGGAGGGGGCCCTGGAGCTGGGGGGGCTGCGGGGGCTGCGGCACCGGGACCTCTTCCCCATGGATCGGCCCTTCTGGGAGCGGGAGTGCCGCGAGCTCAGGGCCTTCTATGGGGAGCACTTCGGGAAGCACCTGCCCAGGGAGGTCATGGCGCAGCTGGAGGCGCTGGAGGGCAGGCTCCGCAAGATGTAGGCCGCCGATTGGCCCGCGCGGGGGGCGGGCCGGTGGCCAATCCGCAGCCACGAGGCCGCGTGGTTGGGCGATGGGGTTGGGCCGCGGGTGGTCATCGGCGCCGCTGGGCAACGGGGATGGGTGTCATCATGGGCAATGGGTAGGTGTCATGGTTGGCCAATGGGGATGGGTGTCTTCATGGGCTATGGGTAGGTGTCGTGGTTGGCCAATGGGGATGGGTGTCATCATGGGCAATGGGTAGGTGTCATGGTTGGCCAATGGGGATGGGTGTCTTCATGGGCTATGGGTAGGTGTCATGGTTGGCCAATAGGGATGGGTGTCTTCATGGGCAATGGATAGGTGTCATGGTTGGGCAATGGGGATGGGTGTCTTCATGGGCAATGGGTAGGTGTCATGGTTGGGCAATGGGGATGGGTGGCATCGTGGTTGGCCAATGGGGATGGGTGTCATGGTTGGCCAATGGGGATGGGTGTCTTCATGGGCAGTGGGGATGGGTGGCATTGTGGGCAATGGGGATGGGTGCCATCATGTTTGGCCAGTGGGGATGGGTATCATGTTGGTTGGCCAATGGGGATGAGCAATGGGTGGTTATCAGCGTGGTTGGCCAATGGGGTTGGGTGACATCATGGGCAATGGGTAGGTGTCATGGTTGGCCAATGGGGATGGGTATCGTTGGTTGGCCAGTGGGGATGAGCAATGGGTGGTTATTGGCGTGGTTGGCCAATCAGCACTCATTTGATAGCATGGTTGGCCAATGGAGATGAGCAATGGGTGGGTATCATCATGGTTGGCCAATGGGGATGGGTATCATGTTGGTTGGCCAATGGGGATGAGCAATGGGTGGGCATCATCATGGTTGGGCAATGGGGATGGGCAGCGTCATGGGTGGGCATCATCGAGGTTGGCCAATCAGCACCCATTTGACATCGTGGTTGGCCAATGGGGATGGGCAGTGGGTGGTCATCAGCGTGGTTGGCCAATCAGCACCCATTTGACATCATGGTTGGTCAATGGGGATGGGCAATGGGTGGGCACCCTCATGGTTGGGCAATGGGTGCCCATTAGTTGACCAACGGCCAATCAGCACCCATTGGGCGCCATGGTTGACCAATGGCTATGGCCATGGGCGCCATCGTGGTTGACCAATGGGTGCCGTCATTGGGTGCCCACGGCCGCCATCCTGCTCACATCCCATTGGCCGCCGTGTGCCCAGCGCCTCTCCTCATTGGCCAGCCACCACCTCACCCCCTGCCAAACCCCAACCCTTGCGGCGCTCTGATTGGCCCTCGGCGGAGCTCCACGCACCCATTGGCTGAGAGATGGTCCCACCCTCCCATTGGCCAATGGGAGGAGGCAGCGCTTTCATGGACCAATAAAGTAGCCCCTTAAAGGGGGGGCGTGGCTTTGTTTGAACCGCGGTCACGTGTCCTTATTGGGGCGGTGTCTATAGTGACGTCAGAGGGGCGGGGCTTACCTGCGGAGGATCCAAAACCCATTGGGGGGGGGGGGTTAAAGGGCACCAAGAGGGAGGGGCCAAACGCCCCCCGCAGCAGCCAATCAGGAGCCACCCTCTACACCCTTATCAGCCAATCGGGAGCCGCCCTGCCGACGCACCTGTAACAGCCAATCAGCAGCCGCCGCTTATCGCGCTCTGTCTCTCTCTCTCTCTCTCTCTCCCCCCTCCCATTTAACAGCCAATCAGCAGCCGGCTCTTATCGCTCTCCCCTCCCCCCCCAGCAGGCTCCCTTTGCCCTGCGCACGTGACCTCCCCCATGTCCAATCAGCGCCCGCCCCTCCCCTCCGCCGTGCGTGGCCACGCCCCCCCCCTTTGCGTCGCCAGGGGACGTAAACAGGCGGCGGGCGGCGGGCGCGCGCGGGCGCGGCGGGCTCTGATTGGTCAGCGGTAACAATGGGGGGAGGGAGCGGGGCCGGGCCCTGATTGGTCGGCGAGGGGGTGGGCGCGGGAAGCGGCAGGGGGGCGCCAAGAGGAGCCCCTCGGGTTCTGATTGGCTGAGGAGCGCGGGAAAAAGGGGGGGGGGGGGGAGAGGAGGGGGAGGGGAGGGGTTGTTGCTGTGGTAACCGGAAGCCCCGCCCCTCGCCTTTGCAGGCAGCCAATGGGGTCGCAGAGCAGCAGCGGAGGGGCGGGGCCGGAAGAGGAGGAGAGGGGGAGGGGCAGGAGGAGGATGACGTCGACCTGAGGCGGGTCCTGGCCCTGCTGCTGGGCAGGTGAGGGGGGGCTATGGGGGGCTCTATGGGGTGGCTATGGGGCTCTATGGGTCCCTATGGGGTGTCTGTGGGGCTCTATGCGGTCTCTGTGGGGCTCTATGGGGTGTCTATGGGGCTCTACGGGTGTCTAAGGGTGTCTATGGGGCTCTATGGGGTGTCTGTGGGGCTCTAGGGGTTTTTGTGGGGTCCCTTTGGGTCTCTATGGGTCGCTATGGGGTCTCTGTTGGGTCTCTGTGGGGCTCTATGGGGTCTCTATGGTTCCCTATGGGTCTCTATAGGTCTCTATGGGTCCCTATAGGGCTCCATGGGGTCTCTATTGGTCCCTATGGGTCTCTATACATCTCTGTGAGTCCCTATAGGGCTCCATGGGGTCTCTATGGGACCCTATGGGGGTCTGTAGGGTCTCTATGGGTCTCTGTGGTCTTTATTGTTCTCTGTGGGTCCCTATGGGTCTCTACGGGGCTTTGTTGTCTCTCTGTGGTTCTCTATGGGTCCCTATGGGTCCCTATGTGTCCCTATGGGTCTCTATGGTCCCTATGGGTCTCTATGGGTCTCTATGGGTCTCTATGGTGTTTCTATGGGTCTCTATGGTGTTTCTATGGGGCTGCCCCACAGGGGACGGGCCGGCCGGGACCCCCCGGATGAGGAAGAGGAAGAGGAAGAGCCCTGGGGGTGGGGCGCCGCTGACGTCACGGCCCCCGGTAGGAGGGGGCGGGGGCTGAGAGGAGGGAGGGGAGGGGCTTAAGGGCTTTCCTTATAAGGGAGGGCGGGGTGGCCCCGCCCCCCCTTTCTGACATCATTCACCTAAGCCCCGCCCCCTCCGGACACGCGGGCTCTGGACGGGCACGAGCTGAAAGCTCAGCTCCTATTGGCCCGCGGGAAAGGGGCGGGGCCTGCACCCACCGAGGAGAACCTGCCCCGGCTCCTGCGGCAGGTGAGTGAGGGCTATGGGGCGGCTATGGGGCGCTATGTGGTTGTCTATGGGGTGGCTATGGGGTGTCTATGGGGTGTCTGTGGGGCACTGTGGGGTGTCTATGGGGTGTTATAGGGGGTACAGGCAGCGTGTTGCTCCTCATAGTGCTGCGGGGTCAGCGAGGATGCGCTCCCTCTGCTCTATGGGGCTCTGTGGGGTTTCTGGGGGTCTCTATGGGGCTCTGTGGGGTCTCTATGGGTCTGTAAGGGTCTCTGTGGGGGCTCTGTGGGTCTCTATGGGTCTCTAAGGGTCTCTATGGGGGCTCACTGGGGTCTCTATGGGTCTCTAAGGGTCTCTCTGGTTTTCTGTGGGTCTCTAAGTGTCTCTGTGGGATCTCTGTGGGTCTCCAAGGGTCTCTATGGGGTCTCTATGGGTCTCTCTCTCCCCCCAGCGCGAATGGGGCCGGTGCCGCAACAGCAGCTTCTCCTATGGGGAGCGCTCCCTGCTGAGCTCCCAGTGAGTACATGGGGGGCGTGTGGGGTGTGTGTGCGATGGGCACTTATGGGGCGCCCCATAACCACCACCCCCATCTGCCCCCCAAGTTTCCTGCCCAATCACGAGGCCTTCGCTGACTCCTACCCCCAAAAGGCTTTTTGTGGCCTCTTCTCCCCCGATGGCTCCCTCTTTGTCTCGGCCTGCCAAGGTGCCTATGGGGCGCTATGGGGTCTCTATGGGGGGATATTGGGATCTACGGGGCTTAGGAAGGGGTTTATGGGGTGTCTATGGGGTCTCTATGGGGGGATATTGGGATCTACGGGGCTCAGGAAGGGGTTTATGGGGTGTCTATGGGGTCTCTATGGGGGGATATTGGGATCTATGGGGCTCAGGAAGGGGTGTATGGGGTGCTATGGGGTCTCTATGGGGGATATTGGGATCTACGGGGCTTAGGAAGGGGTTTATGGGGTGTCTATGGGGTCTCTATGGGGGGATATTGGGGTCTATGGGGCTCGGGAAGGGGTTTATGGGGTGTCTATGGGGTCTCAAAGGGCATCTGTGGGTCTCTATGGAGGAATATTGGGTTCTTTGGGGTGTCTATGGGGCTCTGTGACTCTATGGGGAGTTATAGGGTATCTGTGGGGCTCCATGGGGTGTCTCTGGGGCTCTATTAGTCTCTATGGGGTGTCTAATGGGCTCTATGGGGAGATGTGGGGGCTCTGTTGGTTGTCTGTAGGGGTCTATGGGGTCTCTGTGGGGTCTCTATGGGTCCCTGGGGGTCTCTGTGGGTCTCTGTGGGTCTCTATGGGGTCTCTAAGAGATCTCTATGGGTCTCTATGGGGTCTCTAAGAAATCTCTATGGGCTCTCTATGGGCTCTCTATGGGCTCTCTATGGGTCTCTATGGGTCTCTGTGGGTCTCTATGGGGTCTCTAAGAGATCTCTATGGGTCTCTATGGGCTCTCTATGGCTCTGCCCCAACGTCGCCCCCTGTTGGCCCCGCCCCCAGACCACACCCTGCGCTTCTATTGGTCGAGGGAGGGCTCCCGGCTCCGCCCCTTCCGCTCCGCCCGCGCCCGTGACGTCGGCTGGAGCATCCTGGACGTGGCCTTCAGCCCCGACGCCTCCCAGTGCCTCTACTGCAGCTGGTCCAACTACGGTCTGCCCCATAGCGGCGGGGAGGACCCACGGCAGCGGCTCTGCCCCATAGCGGGGGGCTCTGCCCCATAGCGGGGTGCTCTGCCCCATAGGGAGAATCTCTGCCCCACAGCAGGGGGCTCTGCCCCATAGGGAGAATTTCTGCCCCACAGACGGGGGCTCTGCCCCGTAATGAGGAGTTCTGCCCCATAGCGGAGGAGCGCTACCCCATAGCAGGGGCGCTGCCCCACAGCGGGGTGCTCTGCCCCATAGTGGGGTGCTCTGTGCCATAGCTGGGGGCTCTGTCCCATAGCAGGGGGCTGCCACATAGCGGGGCGACTCTGCCCCATAGGATGGGCTTTGCCCCATAGGATGGGTTCTGCCCCATAGAGGGGGGGTGTGCTCCAAATGAGGGGGGCACTACCCCATAGCGGGGGGGCTGCCCCATAGAGGGATATTCCAGCCAATGGGAGTGGAGCTTGACACCCACCCCCCCCCCCCATTGGGGTTATTGAGTGGTCCGGGGGGGCGGGTGATGTCATAGGGGCGTGGTCAGTCAGTAGGGGAGGGGCTTAAGGGGTTGGGGGCGGGGGTTGTGTAGGACACGCCCCCTTCCCCCCCCCTTCTCCAGTGCATGTCTACGACATCTATGGTGATGGAGACACGCACACGGCTCTGGACTTGAGGTATGGGGCTCTATGGGGTGGGGTATGGGGGCTATGGGGTCAGCTGTGGGCTGTATGGGGGTCTGCGGACTGGGTTATGGGGTCTGTGGGGCTCTGTGTGGGTCTGTGGGGTGGGTTATGGGGTCTATGGGGCTCTATAAAGTAGGTTATGGGGTCTCTGGGGTGAGTTTTAACTCCTATGGGGCTGTATGGGGTGAGTTATGCGGTCTGTAGGGCTCTATGGGGTGCGTTGTGGGCTCTATGGGGCTCTGTGGGGTGAGTTATGGGCTCTATGGAGTTGGGTTATGGGCTCTATAGGGCTCTATGAACATGGACACGGACCCAGTGGACGCCAGGTCACCCCCCATTGGTGCCTATGGGTCCCAGCCCCACACGTTCCCCCCCCGCAGGCCGGAGGAGCGCCGCTTCGCCGTGTTCTCGTTGGCCGTGGGGCCGGACGGGCGCGAGGTGCTGGGGGGCGGCAGCGACGGCTGCATCTACGTCTACGACCGCGAGGTGCAGCGGCGCATGCTGAGGGTCAGCCCATGTGTGGGGCAGGGGGAGCTGTGGGGCTGGGCCCCACGGAAGGGGTCTCAATGGGGGTTAAGGGCCTGTATGGGGCGGCTAAGCCCCCGCATCCATGGGTCTGACCCACTCTTATGGGTCTGCCGCGCATCTATGGGTCTGCCCCTCACTTATGGGTCTGCCCCGCAGGTGGAGGCCCACGAGGACGACGTGAACGCGGTGGCGCTGGCGGACACTGGGGGGCAGCTCCTGCTCTCGGGGGGGGACGACGGCGTCACCCGCGCCTGGGACCGGCGCTGCCTGGGGCAGGATCGGGCCCGTCCCGTGGGGCTGCTCACGGGGCACCGCGACGGCGTCACCTTCCTGCACCCGCGGGTGGGCCGTGGGGGTCAATGGGGGGCTGTGGGAGTGAATGGGGATCAATGGGGTTAATGGGGGGCTATGGGAGTGAATGGGGATCAGTGGGAGTGAATGGGGATCAATGGGGTCAGTGGGGGGCTATGGGAGTGAATGGGGATCAATGGGGTTAATGGGGGGCTATGGGAGTGAATGGGGATCAGTGGGGGGCTATGGGAGTGAATGGGGATCAGTGGGGTTAATGGGGGGCTGTGGGAGTGAATGGGGATCAGTGGGAGTGAATGGGGATCAATGGGGTCAGTGGGGGGCTATGGGAGTGAATGGGGATCAATGGGGTTAATGGGGGGCTATGGGAGTGAATGGGGATCAGTGGGGGGCTATGGGAGTGAATGGGGATCAGTGGGGTTAATGGGGGGCTGTGGGAGTGAATGGGGATCAGTGGGAGTGAATGGGGATCAATGGGGTCAGTGGGGGGCTATGGGAGTGAATGGGGATCAATGGGGTTAATGGGGGGCTATGGGAGTGAATGGGGATCAGTGGGGGGCTATGGGAGTGAATGGGGATCAGTGGGGTTAATGGGGGGCTGTGGGAGTGAATGGGGATCAGTGGGAGTGAATGGGGATCAATGGGGTCAGTGGGGGGCTATGGGAGTGAATGGGGATCAATGGGGTTAATGGGGGGCTATGGGAGTGAATGGGGATCAGTGGGGGGCTATGGGAGTGAATGGGGATCAGTGGGGTTAATGGGGGGCTGTGGGAGTGAATGGGGATCAGTGGGGTTAATGGGGGGCTGTGGGAGTGAATGGGGATCAGTGGGAGTGAATGGGGATCAATGGGGTCAGTGGGGGGCTATGGGAGTGAATGGGGATCAATGGGGTTAATGGGGGGCTATGGGAGTGAATGGGGATCAGTGGGGGGCTATGGGAGTGAATGGGGATCAGTGGGGTTAATGGGGGGCTGTGGGAGTGAATGGGGATCAGTGGGAGTGAATGGGGATCAATGGGGTCAGTGGGGGGGCTATGGGAGTGAATGGGGATCAATGGGGTTAATGGGGGGCTATGGGAGTGAATGGGGATCAGTGGGGGGCTATGGGAGTGAATGGGGATCAGTGGGGTTAATGGGGGGCTGTGGGAGTGAATGGGGATCAGTGGGAGTGAATGGGGATCAATGGGGTCAGTGGGGGGCTATGGGAGTGAATGGGGATCAATGGGGTTAATGGGGGGCTATGGGAGTGAATGGGGATCAGTGGGGGGCTATGGGAGTGAATGGGGATCAGTGGGGGGCTATGGGAGTGAATGGGGATCAGTGGGGTCCAGTGGGGGGCTATGGGAGTGAATGGGGGTCAGTGGGAGTGAATGGGGGTCAGTGGGAGTGAATGGGGGGCTATGGGAGTGAATGGGGTCAATGGGAGTGAATGGGGGTCAGTGGGAGTGAATGGGGACAATGGCTCTCAATGGGTCCCAATGGGTCTCTATGGGTCGCAGTGTGTCCCTATGGGTCGCAGTGTGTCTCTATGGGTCGCAGTGTGTCTCTATGGGTCGCAGTGTGTCTCTATGGGTCGCAGTGGTTCTCTATGGGTCCCTATGGGTCGCAGTGTGTCTCTATGGGTCGCAGTGGTTCTCTATGGGTTCCTATGGGTTGCAGTGTGTCTCTATGGGTCCCTATGGGTCGCAGTGGGTCTCTATGTGTCGCAGTGTGTCTATGGGTCGCAGTGGTTCTCTATGGGTCCCTATGGGTTGCAGTGTGTCTCTATGGGTCCCTATGGGTCGCAGTGGGTCTCTATGTGTCGCAGTGTGTCTATGGGTCGCAGTGGTTCTCTATGGGTCCCTATGGGTCGCAGTGGGTCTCTATGGGTCTCTATGGGTCGCAGTGTGTCCCTATGGGTCGCAGTGTGTCTCTATGTGTCGCAGTGTCTCTATGGGTCGCAGTGGTTCTCTATGGGTCCCTATGGGTCGCAGTGGGTCTCTATGTGTCGCAGTGTGTCTATGGGTCGCAGTGTGTCCCTATGGGTCGCAGTGGGTCTCTATGTGTCGCAGTGGGTCTCTATGGGTCGCAGTGGTTCTCTATGTGTCCCTATGGGTCGCAGTGTGTCTCTATGGGTCGCAGTGTGTCTCTATGGGTCCCTATGGGTCTCAGTGTGTCCCTATGGGTGCCAATGGTGTGTGTGTGTCTCTGCGCGGTGCGGCTGCAGGGGGACGCCCGCTACGTGGTGTCCAACTCCAAGGACCAGACGGCCAAGCTCTGGGACCTGCGGCGCCCGGCGGGGCCCGGCGGCCTCGAGGCCACGCGCAGGGCGGTGGCGCGGCAGAGCTGGGACTACCGATGGCAGCGCGCCCCACGCAGAGGTGCCGGGGGGGCCGCAGCCGGATGTGGGGCGCTGTGGGGGGATATGGGGTGTCTATGGGGAGCTGTGGGGGGATATGGGGTGTCTGTGGGGGCACTATGGGGGCTACGCGCGTCGTCTCAGCATCATGGCAGCTATGGGGGCTAAGGGGGGATATGGGGAGCTGTGGGGGCACTATGGGGGCTATGGGGGGCTATGGGGCACTATGGGGGATATGGGGCGTCTATGGGCAGCTATGGGGGCTAAGGGGGGATATGGGGACCTGTGGGGGCACTATGGGGGCTATGGGGGGCTATGGGGCACTATGGGGGATATGGGGTGTCTATGGGGAGCTATGGGGGCTAAGGGGGGATATGGGGAGCTGTGGGGGCTATGGGGGGATATGGGGCACTATGGGGGATATGGGGTGTCTATGGGGAGCTATGGGGGCTAAGGGGGGATATGGGGAGCTGTGGGGGCTATGGGGGGTTATGGGGCGCTATGAAGGACTATGGGGTGCTATGAGGGACTATGGGGAGCTGTGGGGGCTATGGGGCGCTATGGGGGCTATGGGGCGCTATGGGGGACTATGGGGTGCTATGGGGAGCTATGGGGAGCTGTGGGGGCTATGGGGAGCTGTGGGGGCTATGGGGCACTCTGGGGTGTCTAAGGGGAGCTATGGGGGGCTCTGGGGTGTCTATGGGGGTCTATGGGCACTATGGGGCTCTATGGGTGGCTATGGGGCACTGTGTGGTGTCTATGGGGCTTTATGGGTGTCTGTGGGTCTCAATAGGGTGTCTGTGTGGCTCTATGGGAGGGCTATGAGGGTCTGTTGGGGGCTGCTGGGGTGCGTGGGGCTCTATGGGTGTCTATAGGGCTCGATAGGTTGGGGGTGTCTATGGGGTGTCTATGGAGCTCTATGGGGCTCGATAGGGTGTCTGTGGGGATCTATGGGGTGTCTATGGGTGTGTATGGGGCTCAATGGGGGCTCTATGGGGCTCGATGGGGTGTCTATGGGGATCTATGGGGTGTCTATGGGGCTCAATGGGGTGTCTATGGGGATCCATGGGGTGTCTATGGGGCTTGATAGGGTGTCTGTGGGTGTCTGTGGGTGTCTATGGGGCTCAATGGGGTGTCTGGATGTCTATGGGTATCTATGGGGCGCTATGACGTCACCGCCCCTCCCCCCCCCCCGCAGCTCTGACGTCACCGCCGTTGCCTGGCGACAGCTCGCTGATGACGTTCCGCGGTCACGTGGTGCTGAACACGCTGCTGCGCTGCCGCCTGGCCCCGCCCCCCGGCGACGGCGGCGGCCAATACCTGAGCGCGGGCTGCGCCACGGGGGCCGTGATTGGTGAGCGCGGCGGCCAATGGGGGAGCGAGGGGCGGCGCCACTTTGGGGCGGCCAATGAGGAGCGAGGGCCGTGACTCCGCCTCCTCCCATTGGCAGTCTATGACGTGCTGACCGGGAGGCCCGTGCGGCGCCTGACCAATCACAGCGGCTGCGTGCGTGACGTCAGCTGGCACCCGCAGGGCGGGGCCCTCGCCAGCGCCTCGGTGGGTGGGGCTTGAAGGGGCAGGGGGCGGGGCCTGGGAGGGGGCTATGGGGTCTCTATGGGGTGTCTGTGGGTCTCTATGGGGTCTCTGTGGGTCTCTATGGGGTGTCTGTGGGTCTCTATGGGGTGTCTGTGGGTCTCTATGGGGTCTCTGTGGGTCTCTATGGGGTGTCTGTGGGTCTCTATGGGGTCTCTGTGGGTCTCTATGGGGTGTCTGTGGGTCTCTATGGGGTCTCTGTGGGTCTCTATGGGGTCTCTATGGGTCTCTATGGGGTCTCTATGTGGTTCTATGGGTCTCTATGATGTGTCTGTGGGTCTTTATGGGGTCCCTATGGACCTCTATGGGTCCCTGACCCCTCTTCCCCCGCAGTGGGACGGCTCCATTCGCCTCTGGACCTATCAGGACCCCCAGGACGAGCCAATGGGGGAGCTGCAGGGGGGGGACCCCCCTAAGCTCCGCCCCCTCCCACCTACCCCATAGCGCCTGACCCACAATAAACCTCTGTGACCCCCAAGTCAGCCCCTTCGCCTTCTTCTGTGGGTTCTATGGGGGCTCTATGGGGGGCTATGGGGCTCTATGGGTCTCCATGGGGTGTCTGTGGGGCTCTATACACCCCCTATAGCGCCCCATAAGTGACCCCTCCTCGTCCCTCGCTTCCCCCCTTGAGGCCCCCCCCCCCCCCCCCCCAATGTCCTCTCTCTGCCCTTTGGCCACCTGTTATCCACAAGCCTATGGGGCTCCTATAAGGGGCTATGGGGCGGGTATGGCGTGCTATGGGGCAGCTATGGGACCGTGTGGGGCGGCTATGGGGTGCTATGGGGCAGCTATGGGACCGTGTGCGGCGGCTATGGGGTGCTATGGGGCAGCTATGGAGCGCTATGGGATGGCTATGGGGACCTATGGGGCAGCTGTGGGGCGCTATGGGCTGCTGTGGGGCGCTGATCCATGGGCTGTGCTATGGGGCAGCGGCGGTCATGGCATCCCCCCTCTTCCCCCGGGTCCATGCTCTGGCCCTGGCGCTACTTGTGGGGCTGGGCCCCACACTGAAGGCTCGAGCTGATCCCCACAGCATCTTGGCTTCGCCCCATAACCTGCTGGAGACGTGAGTCTATGGGGCTCTGTTGGGCTCTATGGGGTGGCTATGGGGGGCTATGGGGGTCTATGCGGCTGGGGGGGTTATGGGGCTCATGGGGGGTATCTATGGGGCTATGGGGGTCTATGGGGCTGGAGGGAGTTGTTATGGGGCTCTGTGGGGCTATGTTCATCTATGGGGCTATGGGGGGATGTGGGACTGGAAAGGGGTTATGGGGCAGGGCTCCCCTATGGGGCTGGGAGGGGGCTCTCTGGGGGCTGGGGTCCCCATCTATAGGGGCTGGGACCACATCATGGAGCCTGGGGCTCTATCTATGGGTCTGGGTCCCTACCTATGGGGTTTGGGCTCTCTCTATGGGGGTTTGGGATCTATCTATGGGTCTAGGTCACATATGTGGGTCTTGGGTCTCTATGGGTCTGGGTCTCCCCTCTGCCCCCTTGCCCCACACTTATGGGTCCTGCCCCCCACTTCTGGTTCCCTCCCCCCCATTTATGGGTTCCCCCCACTTATAGGCCCCCCCCACTTATGAGTCCCTGTCCCCCACTTATGTGTCATCCCCACCCCTTATGCCTCCCAGCCCCACACTTATGGCTCCCCACCCCACACTTATGGCTCCCCACCCCACACTTATGACTCCCTGCCCCACACTTATGGGTCCCCCCCCCGTGCCCCACACTTATGGGTGTCCCCCCCCACGCCCCACACTTATGGGTGTTCCCCCCCCGTGCCCCACACTTATGGGTGTCCCCCCCCCCGTGCCCCACACTTATGGGTGTCCCGTCCCCCCCGTGCCCCACACTTATGGCTCCCAGCCCCACACTTATGGGTGTCCCGTCCCCCCCGTGCCCCACACTTATGCCCTCCCCCCGCGCCCCCACACTTATGGGTGTCCCGTCCCCCCCGTGCCCCACACTTATGGCTCCCAGCTCCACACTTATGGGTGTCCCGTCCCCCCCGTGCCCCACACTTATGCCCTCCCCCCGCGCCCCACACTTATGGGTCCCCCCCCTCGCCCCGTGCCCCACAGGCGCCTCCTGCGCTCGGCGGGCTCCTGGACGGCTCTGCTGGCTCTGTCCCTGGCCGTGGCCTCCCTGCCCGTCCTCCGCCCGACAGGGGGCGCCGTGGCGCGGGCTGCGGCTCGCTGGGCCGTGGGGGCCGCTCTGTCCCGCGGCGCCCCGCGCTGGCTGTGGGACTCGCTGGTGGCCGCTACGGGGCGCTGCTGGGCCCGAGGCGCTGTCCATGGTGGCGCCCTCCTCCTGCCCTACGGCGACCCCCGCAGCTGCCGGGCCCATGGGCACCAATGGGAAGGGTTCGGGGTCTCCCCCCAGGCCTTCGCCCTCGTCCATTGCGGGCTGGGATTGGCTGAGGAGGTGGGGGCCTTGGGGGCGGGGCTGTATGGGGGAGGGGGGGAGGGGCAAGGGCGGGGGGAGGGGGGTGCGTAGGGAAGGGGGATACGGGGGGTGGGAGGGGGGTGGGGAGCGCTGGGGGGGCGGGGACGCGCATAGGGGAGGGGGCGGGATGGGGTACGGCCATCGGGAACGCCATGGGGGGGGGTACATCCATAGGGAAGGGCGATATATGGGGTGGGAGGGGGATGGGGGAGGGCGGGGGGTGGGGTATATGCATGGGGTGGGTCGTATCCATGGGGAAGGGCGATATATGGGATGGGAGGGCGACGGGGAGCGCCGTGGGGTGGGGTATGTCCATAGGGAAGGGCATGGGATGGGTCACATCCATGGGGTGGGCTATGGGGAAGGGCATGGGGTGGGTCACATCCATGGGGTGGGCTATGGGGAAGGGCATGGGGTGGGGTACGTCTACGGGGAGCCTCCATACGCGGCTTGGCCCCATGGGGAGCACCATGGAGAGACTCAGTGGGGGAGATGGGGCCATGGGGGGCCCCAATGGCAGGGGGGGGGCAGCGGGACCTGGAGCTTATGGGGGCTGGCTGCAGGCTCTGCCATTGGTTGGTTGGGTCTTCAGGGTGGGGCCGCCGTCGTCACCTATGGGGCCGCCATTGTCACCTATGGGGCTCTCGCCCCCCTATGAGGTCCCCATCCCCTAGGAGGTCCCCATCACCCATAGACCCATCACCGCCATCGTCACTTATGGGGCGCCCATCATCACCTATGGGGCGCCCGTCGTCACCTATGGGCCTCGCACCCCTATGGGGCCCCCATCCCTAGGAGGTCCCCATCGCCCATCAGGTCTCCATTGTCCCCTATGGGCCCACCAGCACCCTCTATGGGGCAAGAGGACCCCATAGAAGCCCCCAAACGTCCCGGCACGGCCTTGTCCCTCCTCTTCCTCCTCAACGTGGCCTTGATCCTGCTCTGGCACTTCCTATTGGCCGTCACCTTGACCTACCGCTACGATTGGCCGAGGAACGCGGCGGGCGCTGCCATTGGCTGGGCCTCGTGGGCCATCACCTATCGCTGCTGGTACCGGTACCCGTGGTCACCAGGACCTCCTGGATTGGGCCTTCCAGGGCGTTAATGGGGGGGGGATTGGGATCTATGGGGGGCTATGGGGTCCATAGGGGTCCGTAGGGACCTCCATTGCCCATAGGGAAGGGCCGCAAGGAGCTCCATTGGCCCATAAGGGCCTTATGCATCTTGAAGGACCCAATGAAGGCCCATAGGTCCATGCTATGGGCTCTATAGGGCAATTATGGGGCCTTGGAGGTCCTGAAGGCCCATAGGTCCATTCTATGGGGCTCTATAGGGGAATTATGGGGTTTTGGAGGTCCTGAAGGTCCATAGGTCCATTCTGTGGGGCTCTATAGGGGAATTATGGGGTCTTGGAGGTCCTGAAGGTCCATAGGTCCATGCTATGGGTCTCCATAGGGGAATTATGGGGTCTTGGAGGTCCTGAAGGTCCATAGGTCCATGCTATGGGGCTCTATAGGGGAATTATGGGGTCTTGGAGGTCCTGAAGGTCCATAGGTCCATGCTATGGGTCTCCATAGGGGAATTATGGGGTCTTGGAGGTCCTGAAGGTCCATAGGTCCATGCTATGGGTCTCCATAGGGGAATTATGGGGTCTTGGAGGTCCTGAAGGCCCATAGGTCCATGCTATGGGGCTCTATAGGGGAATTATGGGGTCTTGGAGGTCCTGAAGGTCCATAGGTCCATGCTATGGGGCTCCATAGGGGAATTATGGGGTCTTGGAGGTCCTGAAGGCCCATAGGTCCATGCTATGGGGCTCTATAGGGGAATTATGGGGTCTTGGAGGTCCTGAAGGTCCATAGGTCCATGCTATCGGGCTCTATAGGGGAATTATGGGTCTTGGAGGTCCTGAAGGCCCATAGGTCCATGCCATGGGGCTCTATGGGCAATAGATGGGGTTTGGGGGTGACCTTCAGGTCCACAGGAAGGCCCTTTAGAGCCACGGAGCTCCTTCACGTCCAAAATGACCCAAAATCGGGCTTTTCCCACCTATTTGGGGGCCTTTCTTAAGGCGGTTGAGGTCCTGGCCAATCAGAGAGTGGGCATGGAGGGGGGCCAAGAGCTCGCCCAATCAGGTGCGAGGCGCGGGCACTCCACCAGGGGGCAGCATCCCGCTGTTAATGGGGTGAAAAAGTGGGGTTTGTGGCTAAGACCAGCCCCAAAATGGTGGTTTTTGGTAAAAAGAGGCAAATTTCGGGGGTTTTGGCCCAAAAATGAGCGGTTTTGGGGGTTAACTGTGTGAAAACGGTGATTTTGCGGCAGAAAAGGGGTTTTCTGGCCCTAAAATGAAGATTTTGTGGTGAAAAAGCGACAATTTTGGGTGCGGAAAACTGACGGGTTTTGGAAGCTGAAAACGAAGACTTTTTTGAGTGTAAAAGTGAAGATTTTGGAGTGAAAGACTTAAGGTTTTTGTGGTGAAACATGATGATTTTTTGAGCCGCAAAATATTAAGATGATTTTTGGAGCAGAAAAAAGAAGATTTTGGGGTGAAAAAGAGACGATTTGGGGTGTGGAAAAGTGATGGGGTTTGGAAGCCGAAAACGAAGATTTCGGGGTCAAAAAGCGATGATTTGGGGACAAGAAGCGTCAAGATTTGTGCATTTTGGTTGGACTTCACTGAAAAAGGCAGGTTTGGGGTCATTTTGTGCCGAATTTCATGGTTTGGGGTAAAATTCCCCCAATTCTACATTTGGGGGGGGGGGGAGTGTGAAAAAGTGGAATTTGAGGTCGGTTCAATGTGGAAATGATGTTTTTTAGCAGAATTGGGCTCATTTGGGGAGGGAAAGGGTGGTTCTTGCATTAAAATGATGAAAAATGGGTTTCTTCCCCTTGAAATATGTGTTTTTTGGTGTAAAGTGGAGGTTTTCTGTCATAAAATGCCTGGGTTTTGCTGTAAAATGTGTGGTTTTGCCCTAAAGTGTGTGCTTTCCGTGTTACAAATGTGTGGGTTTGCTGTAAAACGTGTGGGTTTTA